GAAGTGTCTGTTCAGCTCCTTTTATTGATTGAGTTGTTTGATTTTTTTTAATTTGTTTAAAATTTTTGAGTTCTTTATATATCCTGGAGATTAGCGTTATATATGACATGTGTGTGTGGCAAAAATTTGCTCCCCAAATGTAGGCTCTCTCTTCACCTCATTGATTGTTTCTTTTGCTGAGAAGCTTTTTAGTTTGAATCCATCCTATTTATTAATTCTTGATTTTATTTCTTGCACTTTAGGAGTCTCGTCAAGGAAGTCAGGGTCTAATTTAGTGTGATGAATTTTGGGCCTCCTTTTTCCTCTATTAGGCACAGGGTCTCTGGTCTAATTCCTAGGTCCTTGATCCACTTTGAGTTGAGTTTTGTGGTGGTGAGAGATAGCGATTTAGTTTCATTTTGTTGCATATGGATTTCCAGTTCTCCCAGCACCATTTGTTGAAGAGGCTATCTTTTCTCCAATATGTGTTTTTGGCACCTTTGTCTAGTATTAGACAACTATATTTGTGTACCATTGGTCTACATGTCTATTTTGGTGTCAACACCATGCTGTTTTTGTTACTATAGATTTGTAGTACAATTTAAGGTCAGATATTGTGATGCCCTCCTGCTTCACTCTTCTTGCTAAGGATTGCTTTGGCTATTCTGGGTCTCTTATTTTTCCAAATGAATTTCATAATTGCTCTTTCTATTTCTATAAGGAATGACATTGGTATTTTAATTGAATCTGTATAGTGCTTTGGGTAGTATGGCCATTTTGACAATATTAATTTTGCCTGTCCAAGAGCATGGGAGCTCTTTCTATCTTTTAAGGTCTTCTTCAGTTTCTTTCTTTAGTGTTCTGTAGTTTTCATTGTAGTGTTTCACCTCTTTTGTTAAGTTGATTCCCAAGTATTTTATTTTTGCATTTTATAGTTTTGAATTTTTTATTTTTAAAATATTTTTTAGTTGGTGATAGACGTTTATTTAATTAATTTGTTTATTGATATGTGGTGCTGATAATCGAACCCAGTGCACCACACATGCTAGGCAAGAGCTCTACCACTGAGCCACAACCCCAGCCCTGTATTTTGACTTTTTAACTTAATGTATCGTGGAATTTTCCTTAAATTATTAAATAATCATTGTCCTTTAGAGATTCATCATATGACAACATATAGATAGATATTCTTTATATTATATATTCTGTTGTACATTTAGGTCATTTCCAATTTTGTCTATGATTATATACCAACAATGTGAGGAATGTTTTTGTTTGATCTGGGAAACTCTAAGATGACCTTCAGTAACCCTTATCTTGTATTATGTAAACATGATAGGATAACACTCCCATGATTATGTTATGTTACACACAAGGGGATTTTGCAGATGGAATTAAGGTTACTAGTCAATTGACTGAGTTCTTAGAAAGGGAGATAATCTGAGTGGACCTAACCTAATCACAGGAGCCCTTTAGAAGCAGATAAGTTTGTCTCGCTGACAATAAAAGAAGTCAGATTCAAAGTGTACAAAAGATGGGACAGGAAGACTGTTCTCCTATGTGAAATGAAAAGGGCCATGGACAAGGAACTGACAGGGTCCTAGGAGCTGAGAGTGCTGCCAACAGCCGACAACAGCAACAACAAAAAAAGCAGTGGTCTCAGTTCTACAGTAAAGCAGATCAATTCTGCAGACAATCCTGATGAGCTTGGAAGCAGGTTCTTTCCCAGAGCCTAGCTGACTGACATCATGATTTCTACTTTTTGAGACCCTAAATAGAGGACCTAGTTGAGCCCACCCGGACTTCTGACCTACAGAAGTGTAAGATAATAAATGGTTGTTGTTTTAAGTCACTAAGTGTATGGTAATTTGTTACATAACAATAGAAAATTTAATACATTTGTAAGAAATTATTTTTATAGCTATAATTTCTTTAGGGGTAAAATCCTAGATATATTCTGAATAAAAAGTTATGCATGTTTTATAAGGTTTTTGAATCATATTACTAATTTGCCCTTCATAATCCTTATACCAATTTATGTGCCTCCTGACAACCAGTTACTAGACTGTAGCAAACACCAGCCACTGCTATTCTGAGAAGCCAAAACAAAAAGTGTCTCCTTTTTTAAAAAGAAGATTTATATTTGTCTATTTCTAGTAGGGTTGGCCATTGTTTTCTTTACTGGAGTTCATTTGCTAAGTCTTTTGGTGAATTGCTTATTCTTCTTCTGTGGTTATCTTTATTAATATTGAGAAAATATTCCGTAACTTATAGTACAGCATTTCTCTGCTGTTTTTTTTTTCCCCCCAAGGGGACAATGATTAATGAGTTTGAGAGAATGTGTACTTCTGAGAAGTATTAGTCACTGCCGTTAACCCTAGGGGAGAAATATATATACATATATTTATACATAAACATATATACACATATAAACATTTACATATATAGATAAATAAGACATATTACTGAGGGAGATCAGAGAATACCCATTTTGTTGATTAGGCAGTACTTTTCTAGGGAAAAAGTCTAGTTTGTCTGGATTGGCATTAGAAACGTGATTGTTTTAGGAATATATTGTGTTTCACCATGTATTTGCTATTTTTAAAAATATTTATAGATGGACACAATATCTTTATTTGTTTGTTTGTTTGTTTGTTTGTTTATTTATCTGGTGCTGAGGATCAAACCCACTGCCTCACAGTCGCTAGGCAAGCACTCTACCACTGAGCCACAAACTCATCCCCACAGCTTTGCTATTTTTGAAGGAAGTAACACTGTTAATTGGCCAGGGGAACTAATATCTTCCTAAAGATGTCATTCTTTTTTTTTTTCTTTTTAAAGAGAGAGGAGAGAGAGAGAGAGAGAGAGAATTTTAATATTTATTTTTTTTTTAGTTTTCGGCGGACACAACATCTTTGTTTGTATGTGTTGCTGAGGATCCAACCGGGCCGCACGCATGCCAGGCAAGCGCGCTACCGCTTGAGCCACATCCCCAGCCCAAGATGTCATTCTTTTTGATATGATCAAAATAACCCATAATCTCTGATTATATATACAGATTGAGTATTCTTTACCCAAAATTTTTTGGACCAGAAGTATTTCAAATTTTGGATTTTTTCAAATTTGGAATATTTGCATGGACTCTATTGGTTCAACATCCCCAATCCATAAACCCACTGAATTTCAGATTCTTGGATTAGAGATAGTCAAGCTGTATTATATTGCTCTAACCAGGATGGGGTAAGAAGAAATTCAGGTTACTTTTTCTGTAATCTTGTTTGAGATGATAGGATTTATTTCTGGCAAAATAAGGTGGAAGGGAAGGAGAGAGGAGTTGGGAGATGTCCTTTTTTCTCTTAGTAATTTTTGTCTTTTTTAAAAATACTGGTTATTGCTATCAGTTTCTGAACTTTGGTATCTTCCTAATAGGAGCAAAACATTGTTTTTATTTTGAAATATTTGCAGATTTACAGTAAAATATATCGTGAGAACCTATACTCAAGCAAGATTTTTCTTTTCTAGCCAAATGGTCAAGTCTTACTTAGAAAGGTTAGCTCTCCCTGTCAGTTGGATTGGGTTGCTATTTGTGTTTACAGAATTCATAATGGCCTATATTTCCATGGAGGCCTGATGTTGATACATACACACACACACACACACACACACCCTTATATAGCATATATATATGATCGTATTTCATAAATATGATATATATATATAGGTGTGTGTGGGTGTGTGTGTATGACCAGTTTTGTCTTTCTCATTGATTATCTGGAATAATATAGATACTGAAGCAATTTGGAATCCAAAACCCTAGGCTATCATTATTTTGAAGACCTTGTAGCAATTTAAAATATAAAATAAAAGAGCTCCTTTGTTGTAATTCCTATGATAAAATTACTTCTTTGTGTTGGACAACAAAGGCAGAAGAACTTTGACAAAAATCAAAAAATAAAAAAAGGTAGACATGTCGTCTGGGAAACCCAGAAGCCCACGCAAGAAGAATGGGCTGCTCACTCTCTCCCACAACACAATACCCATGTGGAGTTGGCTTCTTGTTATCTGGGCCACAGAAGGCGAAGAGCTGGTAGATTCTGGTGAGGGAGCTATTGATTGGGAAGAGAGAAGTGAGCCCATGGGGAGCCCTGTGACTGTTCTCTCAGGACAACTGGGCTTAAGAAGTGCCCTGCTTTTGCTGTATATTCAAATTGGGATTCTTGCTTCCATTTACAAGTAGGATTTTATAAAATCCCTGAACCGTCACACAGCTGAAAGGACATAAGAAAGAAGATGATGATGAAATCATCACTCTACATTTGTTGGACTGGGCCCTTCCTTAAAGATCAAAAACTATATTAAGTGCAACCCCATGAGGTAGGTCCTGTGGTCATCGCCACATGACTGACAAGGAAGTTGAGACTCAATGACCTAAGATTCTGTACTAAACAGTGGAATCACTTCTCAATTCACATCTGTCTGGTGCCAAATCCCATGTCCTTATATTATGAGAAATCCCTTTTTTTTTATACTTAGGAAGTAGAGCTAGTAAGACCCCTAGTCATACTACTTCCTTCTCTTAGTCTAGGACTTTTTCTGCATTATGTCCTCTTAATAATTTGTTTATTCCTATGCCTTTTCTCCAGTGTCTCTGGCCTACGTACTTTTAACTCATGTGTCAAATTGATTCAAAAGTTACTGGATTTTTAAGCTTTTAGATAGAGTAAGCTTTTAGATAGATCTTTTAAAATGGAATTATCAATCCCTTAATTTTATTTATTTTTTTTTAGTGAAGTGTTTCTACCAGACTCCTATAAAGGGGACACTCTCTCCCATGTGCTATTAAAAGTTGAGCCTTGTGACTACTGTCTGACTGTTTTTTTCTTTTAGAGAAGTCAGAGAGTGCAGTCTGTGACCTCATGTAAAAAATAGCCACCAAAGATCTATCCAGAATCATTTTTAGTTCTTTAATTTTGGTAAGCCCACATTTTCAAAACAGATTAAATTTGTCTGATTTCTTTCAGAAGTATATATTACAAAGGATTCAACGGCAAGTGAGAATTCAAATGCACGAAGCAGAGCCAGAGAGCTTTCTAAGGAGAAACTATTCAGGAGGTAAGCACTTCTCCTGGAAGCTTTGGATATTGTATTTCAGAAACATCTTTCTATTCATTTCATTGTTATTAAGAGCATAATAATTTATACGAACATTCCTTTTGATATTCAATTGACATTGCTAAAATTTCTGCTTTTTTTTTCCACCCTCATTTTCCAGAGAGAGAAGATACACAGGCAAGTTCTGGAAGGATTTTCATTGCTACCCTTGAAGAGACTTGGAAATTAATGGGCAACATTTTACATGAAAATTTTTGAGCATTTTTTTCTTCTTATCTGGGAGGCCTTCTGTGGAGAATTAATAGGAGGTTGAATGCGCACATGGATAAAATGGATCATCTTAAAGGATTGCAGTTCCAAAAATATATCAGCAGGACTGGACAGGTTTGACATAATGAGATTTCTATTTTAGCTTGACTTCTGGAACTCTGAATCAAACTATAAACTGAGCTACACAAGGTCTTGCAAAGGAAGTTTCTCTTCTAAAACATTCTAGTTGAGCATAACATTTTTCTTCTTCAGATCTTTTGAAAAGGGATTTTTAGTCACCAGTTTCCTAAGGGGCAAGACTATCAGACATTTACCACGTTTTAATATATGAAGTGGCATAGAAAACAGCAATCTTTATACTACTGAAAGAATAATTGAAAGAAATGGACAGCAGGAAGTAGAGGAGAGCTTTCTGTGTACGCACTGACTGAGATGGCAGAAGCTCCTGTGGAAGCCTCAACTCTGCCTGTAACAGTGAAGAAAAAGAAGAGTCTATCCATTGAGGAAAAGATCGACATCATAAATGCAGTGGAAAGTGGCAAGAAAAAAGCAGAGATTGCAGCTGAATATGGAATAAAGAAAAATTCACTGTCTTCTATTATGAAGAATAAAGACAAAGTTCTAGAAGCCTTTGAATCTTTGAGATTTGATCCAAAGAGAAAAAGACTGAGAACTGCTTTTTATACAGACCTAGAAGAGGCATTAATGAGATGGTATCGAATTGCTCAGTGTCTAAATGTACCAGTTAATGGTCCAATGTTGCGTCTAAAAGCTAATGATTTTGCCCAGAAACTGGGACATAATGACTTTAAGTGCAGTAATGGCTGGCTGGATCGTTTTAAATCCAGGTATGGTTTAGTATTCAGAGCTCAACCTGCAGAAGCTTCAGGTGTATCAGTAGACCCTTCAACTGTGTGGTACCAAAATATACTTCCTTATTATTTAAATGATTATCATCCTAAAAATGTTTTTAATATAAAAGAGACTGGACTGCTTTATCGAATGTTACCTACAAATACATTTGCATTTAAAGGAGAAACATGTTCAGTTGGAAAGTTGTGCAAAGACAGGATAACTCTGGTGGTTGGTGCGAACATGGATGGCTCAGAAAAACTTCCTTTGCTTGTCATTGGAAAAAACAAAAATCCACATTGTTTCAAAGGTATAAAATCATTGCCTGTACATTATGAAGCTAACAGAATGGCCTGGATGACTTCAGACATATTTGAACAATGGATGCAAAAGCTTGATGAGAAATTTCAAGCCCAGCAACGAAGAGTGGTGATTTTTGTGGATTCTTCCCCTGCACATCCAGAGGTAAAGAACCTAAAGTCCATTGAGTTAGCATTCTTTCCATCATGTTTATCTTCCAAATTCGTAGCTATGAAACAAGGTGTTATTAAAAGTCTTAAAATCAAATATCGACATTGTCTCATCAAGAAATTTTTAAGCTCTGTTGAAGGTAGTAGGGAATTTACATTTTCATTACTAGATGCAGTTGATACATTGCATCTATGTTGGAGTACAGTAACCCCAGAGACTATTATTAAAAGCTACGAAGAAGCAGGATTCAAATCTCAAAAGGAAGAAAATGACCCAGCCAATGCAGAGAGAGACCCTGGTCTTGATTTGGTCACCCATGCTCTGGGAGCAGGAGTGGAATTTCCTGAAGGTTTGTCTATAGAGGAGTATGCTGCCCTGGATGATGACTTAGAGACGTGTGAAGCAGTACCAAACGATGAGTCAGAATGCACTGAAGAAAGTCAGCCAGATGAAACTGGATTTTATACTTCAGATGAAGAAGATGATGGTGGATCTTTAGAAACTGAACTTCCTTTACCATCAAAAAATGAAGCACTAACCGCTTTAGATACTCTTAAAAAATTTCTTAGAAGTCAAGACATGAATGATGGACTTCATAATTCTTTAGCAGAACTTGAAAATTTTATTAACCCTTTACCACCTAAGTAATTATTTGTTATATAACATCTGAAGACTAAAAGCTTTTCCTGATGTAATTTAATATATAAGGTATGTAAAGGAGAAATACCATTTAAAGATAAAATATGAAAACCTAGTGATTTTTGGTTTAATTGCAAAAACGTGTGACTAGCAAAGCTCCCTAGTAAATAATGATTAATTAAATAAAAATACTGAATTATATTCAGTAAGGTTTTAGGGAGTAGAAAATATTTCAGAGTTATATATGTCAAACATGAAAAGAATGCTTTAGCTCTAATTCACACACAATGGATCATCATTGCTATTTTTTTAAAATTCAAATCATGTTCTAGAAGATTTTAATTTATCTACCTAGTCTAAGATACAAAATAGCTTAGATATTTATTTTTATAGACATATGCCATATGTATTCTAACTAGATTTTAAGAATCAAATATTACAGTAGTTTTAATTTATTTTTCTTATATCTAGCTAACCTTTCTAAAAAGAAATTATGTAGAACTACTGAAAATAAATTCTGACATACCTATACACCAAAATGATTAAAAATATATCTTATTATTTTCAAGCTATAATAAGGGCAAATGAAATGACCATATCAGGTTTTGTCATCTAGAATCAGAAGATATGGGTCTTTCTTAAATGTGTGTGTGTGTGTGTGTGTGTGTGTGTGTGTGTTTAATAGAAAAATCTTTGTTGAAACATTTATTAAACTCATGATTTTATATTTTAATAAGAATACTCTTAAAAAGTAAATGAGAAGATACATATGCACTACTAGGAAAAAATGTGGTGCTTAGATATTTTTCTAATGTTAATAGCTCAAGCTTTTAATTTATAATATTGAATTATTTTCTTGATTTTACTGAATCTTGTTGTCAGGAAAAATGAAATATTCTTTCAGCATATTTGATGTAATCAGTCCTTTTTTTCCTTCAAATTTAATGGATAACATTTTGGATTAAAATTTTGTTTGAAGAAGTTTTAGCTACCAAATGTTTTTAAATGCTGTGTAAAATTATTTAATCTCTATAAAATAGTCTTATAACAGTCAATAATTATAACAGTGTATCAGATTTTTCTGTTATTAAATTTAAACACTATGCTTACTTATTACAGATAATTTAGTGTCCCTTTGGAAAGTATTTTGTAAAGATAAAACATAGATTATTTTTGTTATGAATTATTAATCTGCCAACAGATGACACATTTGGAAGGAATTGTAGAAAGCATTTTTATTTTTCACTGTTGATTTACTCGGCTTTTGAGATTTACTAATAAGACTGACAAATGTTTTCGTATGTTTTAGAGTGAAATATCAATTGTTTAAATTAAAAAGATTTTATTTATGATTTACTTTAAAATTTTAATTTAATAAAATTGTGGACTTAAAGGTGTTCTTAAGCCCCACTCATAACTTTAATATCTCACATATTATGAGCCCTCAATCATTTTTTTTCCTTCTCCACTTGATGCCTTTTGCTATTTGATTATTTCAGATATTCTGTAATATAAGAATTACCTCCTTATTTACAGATGAGGAAGTTAAAACTTGGAAAGATTAAATGATTTGTTTAAAATTTCAGAGCCCAAACTAAAATCCAGTAGTTCCTCATCACCCGTTCCTACATTCCCCTAACGATATACCACAATGTTCCTAACTTGTTCTCTTTAAAAGAAAATTCCATTATTTTACCCTTAATTTAGAAGATTAAAAGACAAAGTATTCCAGAGAATACACTAGATTCGTGCTAATAGCACTATTCACAAGATCTCATCCAAGTACACATAATAATGAAATACTGAGAGATATTCTGATTTGGTCATTCTATACCACTCTGTCTGGTTCTATTTAAATAAAAATTTCCAAAGTGCTGAAAGCACCCACTCTTTCTTTCCTTTACGATATTATACATTTCTTATTGTAAATACTTCTGAGATGTAATAAATCTAAAGATGGTAAAGTTAGAAGTTACATAAAATTTGATTAAGAAAAAATGCCTGTGGGTTTAAATTCAAAGATAAGCTTTAAGTTGTTAACGTTGTTCACGCCTGTGTGGTTTATAAGATGTATACGTTTAAACAATTTTTGGAACAAAAATTTTAGAAATTTACTTTTCCTAGGATGTAATCACCGCTACATACCTCACTCCTAATTTTTCTTCTCTATACATAGTCAGTACAACGTAAGAATTAAATGTTTTTCCCCCCCAAAAAAACAACTCAATTTACAATTTGCCTGGTTTTAAAATGTGGTATTATTTTCATTGTTCTTGCATTATATTTTTACTCTTTAACAATGTGTTTTTTATTCTACTTCATCAAGAACAAGTCTCTTGTTGAATTTGGGACATTATTTCACTACCTGTGGCTAATGAACCTCTAGTGAAAGGCTTAGTTCAGAATAAAGTAGGACAATGAGTAAATCAAAGCTTGTGGGTTTCCTGTTGCCTGCTTACCTTCTCACCTGAACCTGAGCTCAAATCTCAAACCTTCCTTTCGCTGTGTGCAAGGCAGATTAATTGGGAGGGGGAGGAAAGGAGAGAAGGGAATGGAGGGAGCATTAAAACCAACACTTCCAATGTTAAGAGACACCCTGGGGCTCCAGCCCTGTAGGACTGGTGGAGAGGTTTGCCTGTAGGAGAGGCAGCACCTCATCTACTGCAGGTTCCCACTTCAGGGTTGGGCCTGATCTCTGGACTACGGAGCTCAGCACAGCATGGTAAAAGACAGCCTGGAAGCTGCAACAGTTGCTAAGGAAGATCCCACAACTTTTAAGACAGAAAGGCCTAGGTTGGAGGCCCCAGTGTGCACAAGAGAGCTCAGAAAAGTTTTCTTTCGGTGAAATAAATCAAGCTTTAGCTCTACTTAATTGTGAAAGACACCCATTTGTCTAAATCTTAATTTTATCATCCATAAAATAAGAGTCACAATACTTCATTTGTATTTATTTTGAGAATGAAAATTTTGCATGTGAGTGTATTTAGGAAACTCTAAAGGAATCAAGTATTCTACAATTCTAAGCAATAACCAGAAAAATGCTTCTATGCTACTACTTCCAAATATGCCCAGATATTACACAGTGGTGCTAAATTATTGATGACCGTGTTTTCTTTCTTTTTTTTTTTTTCTTTCTTTCTTTGGTGCTGTAGTTCTGGCACATGCTAAGCACATACTCTACCATTGAGCTATGCTCCCCAAAACCCCTAAACCCTAGTGATAGTTTTATTGACATGTGAAATGAAATAAGGAAGCCAGCATTTTTAGAAATGTTCAGTTTAATTGAGAGTTCAGAAACTTCATTTTGGATGAGGAACAAAGATGACTTAGAAACCTTAATTTTTCCTGAGTTGATCCTTCTGCGAAACAATACAATAAGTGCTCATCACAGAGTAGCCCTTTCTGTTGCCACCTTAGCTAATTCAATTCTCCTGTCTGGGAGCTGTAACAAACTTGTGAAACCTAGGGTAACCCAGAGTCTGGAGACACACTAAATAATAAATACACCACTATATCAGTTTGCTCAGTCTTCCATGATGGTACTGGAGACAGAGTTAAACAACTTAAATTTATTTTCTCACAGTCTGGAGACTGGAAGCCCAAGATCAGGATGCCAGAGGGCTGTCCCCTTGGGTCTCTGGCCTTTTGACACTATGCTCACATGACCTCTTTGTGTGAGTATGGAGAGAGACCAAGCTCTTTGATGTTCCTATTGTCATTTCTTTTTTTTTTTTTATTGGTTGTTCAAAACATTACAAAGCTCATGACATATCATCTTCCATACATTTGATTCAAGTGGGTTATGAACTCCCATTTTTTACCCCAAATACAAGTTTCTTGAGAACTACAAATAATCCTAATTACCTCCCCATCTCCAAATATTACATTGGGGTTTAGGGCTTCGACATATGAATTTGGGGGGCGGGGCACAAACATTCAGTTTATAACAACCACCTAGTATAAGTAAATGTTTTCACATATTTAATTCCCATTTGCTAAAAGCTAAAAGGGCATGCATATTTTCAGAACTCATTAATCAGCTTTAGGAAACTCTAAAGGAATCAAGGTATTAGCAAGAACTTTAAGATTTATGAAACATATACCTTGATGAAATGGAAACATTTTATGGCTTTGAACAATATGAAAATGTCAGTTTCCCCTAAATTAATCCCAATCAAAATCCCAATAATTTTGTTGAAAACTTTACAATTCAAATTTTTATTTGTAAGAATAAGTGTGCATCAATATCTAAAAAAAATTGGAAAAATAGAAGTAATGAGTAGTTGACTACCAGAAGCCAAAACAGGTGGATTATTTAGTAACTATTATTGGGGAAACTGGCTAACTCTACAGAAGTTTTTTGGAAGTTATACACCAAAATGAGTCCTGAAAGGATAAGATTCTTATTAAAGGAATAAAGGAAAGAAACAAACTTGTAAATACTAGGAAAAAAATCAATGTAATTATTTTAATAATCTTGTAATAAGGAAGATCTTTTGAAAAGTATGACACTCAAGGAAAATAGTCAAGGGTAAAAATACTAATGGAGCCATACACAGTGGTTCTCATCTGTAACCCCAGGGACTGGGGAAACTGATGCAGGAGGGTTGCAAATTCAACGTCAGCTTCAGCAAGACCCTTTGTCAAATAAAAAGGATCCAGGCATGTAGCTCAGTAGTTGAGTGCCCCTGGGTTCAATCCCCAGTTCCAAAAAACAAACAAATGGGCTAAGTGGGTGATATGTACCTGTAATCCCAGCTATTTGGGAGGCTGAGGCAGGAGGATAGCAAGTTGAGGTCAGCAGGTACAACTTAGCTAGACCTTGTCTAAAATTTTTTTTAAGGGGCTGAAAGTCTAGCTCTGTGGTAGAGTGCTTGTCTAACATTTTCAAGGCCCTGGGTTCAATCCCCAGCAACAACTCCCCCCTCCCCCCAAAAAACCCTAATGATTAATCAAAGTATGAAAATATTTTCAACATCACTAGAAATCAAAGATGTTGTGAGCAAAACAATGGAATATCTTTGTCTTCTTTTAGTTTTTTGAGAAAAGTTTGGCCTGTCAGACAAAAATTTAGAATAACAAATGAAGAGCATAGGAAAATGGGTGCACTGTTGTAAAGATAAATCTGTTATGAATAGGTGCATTCTTCTGTTATTATAGCTGACATATGTTAACTGTTTACCAATTGCCAGATATTGTTCCAAGTGTTTTGCATGTTACCTTATTTAATCCTCAGAATCTAACTCCAACAGTTATCATCACTATTTAATTGATAAGAAAATGTAAATATGTATAGCTACAGCTAATATGTAACAGAACTAGGATTCAAACTTAGGATATACTTAGGATATATTTATACTAACCAAACAAAAGCGTTAAAGATATTTGTTTTAATGCATACAGTTCCATAGTCCCTTATCCAAAATTTTGGCAGCATATGTGTGCCAGAATTACTCAGACCTGGATGGGTGCGGCTCAGTGGTAGAGTGGCTGCCTAACAAGGGTGGGGCCCTGGGTCCCACCTCAGCACTAAAGGAAGAAAAAAGGAATTTCTCAGATTTGAAAAAAATCTTTCTATTCTATATAACACCCCCAGTGGGTATCAGGGCATGCCACAATAAAAATGAATAATTTTGTAGTGAATCATATAAAGACACATTAAGTCAAATATGTAAAGGTCATAAATAGCTAACTAGCTTCATAGGTTTTATTGCCAAATAAGTTCACATCAGGTCAGCTTTTACCATCAAATGGAGTGTAAAAAAAAAATTTGGAGCTTTTTGTATTTCAGAGCTGCAGATAAAAAATTGTGGTCCTTTAATAGCACAAAACAAAAACAAAATACTGAAAACTATATTTCTTTCCAACAGCAGGTTGGTTAAATATATTTTATTGAATTTATATTGAATGAAACATCTGGGCTCAAACTTTTTGTTTGTTGTTTGGTTCTGGGGATTGAACCCCACACCTGGCATATGTTAAGCACACACTCTGTCCCTTGGCTGCATCCCCAGTTCCTAAGCTCAAACTTTTTAAAAAATTTCTCTTGCATGGGTATATATTCTAAATTGAAGTTGCTGGCCTGAACTGAAGTGGATATTTTCTAAATTTGGCTTGCAAAGTGTGGAACTAAAATCTCCTCTTCCTATGATTCTCTGTGATGAATATCTTAAGTCATCACAAAGCTAGAAAATTCCTTGCCCGGTAATACAGGAATATAATATCAAATTTGTGAAAAACTATACCTGCTGGTTTAATGTACTATGAATTACAAGTTTATCTTCATTCATTAGCCTGATTTAAGTCCTAAGGAATCGTTTCCTTAATTAGAACAAACCTTACCTAAAGTGTCAAGGAGAAAAATCAAAGGAAAATTTCCCCACTTCATTCCATATTTACTTTTTTATTTTTTTCTATTTGTCAACACTTGATATGGTTGTGTGGCTTTTTAAGGGTTGGACTATTGTAGAATCCTTTTATATCTCCCCACAAATACCTATGAAACACATGGCCAGCTGCTGGTATGATTAAATATTTACCCAATGGAAGAACTAAATAAAAAGTTACAGATAGTCTTATTTTTGTATTAGGAATAAAGACCAACTTTTGTTTTGTTTTCTCCTCATTTCCTCTTTGTAAGCTTCTGAACTCTCCTTTGTTAATACAGTCACTGCTGTGTTCTTGGCTGGTACCACACCTTATTTTCTAAATTGCAAAATAACTAGCTCAGCACAGAGATAAGAACTATTTTCATGTTACCACCTGTCCAAATGAGGAACCATTGCCCAAAGTAGACCCAGAATTGAATTTCTCAATTCTTGGAATGCTTTGCAGAGAGAGATCTGCCCCACACTGTATATTGATTACTATTTTGTTATGCCTTTTCTATTAAAAACCAAGTCCTCGGCCTGTGCCCAAAGGTGATACTGGAAAAGACTTTAAATCCTATAATGTCTGAATAGTTACCAAGAAAAAAGGTTTGAACCAAAAGAAAATTTAGTGGAAAGATTGTTGTTTATTTTCCTATTGAATGAAAATGGGGGTTTGGGAGCAAGTAAAGTTTGTTTTAGTGGGTAAAGTGGAGAGCCAGCCTGAGGCAGGAGGATCAGGATTTCAAGGCAAGCCTCAGTAACTTAGCAAGACCCTGACTCAAAAGGTAATAATAATAATAATAATAATAATAAAGTGAAAAGGGCTGGGGATATAGTTCAGTGGCAGAGCATCTCTAGGCTCAACCCCTAGTACCAAAAAAAAAAAAAATTGTTTTAAAAAGTATACTTCTTCATTCCTGAATTGTGGTCTGTGCGTGTTAGATCTACCATAGGGCAAATAATTTCTAGGACATCTGCTTATACTCAGGCTTTGGAATTTCAGCTTTGAGCCTTTTCTTCCCCCAAATTTGATCACTGTCCTCCAGATTCAATTATTCTG